GGTCTACGTTTGGCGGCCATCCCACTACAAGATTGCCACAAATTGGATGGGTCCGGCCCGTGTTATGGCTGTACGTCCTGCTGACACCTATCTTGTTTATTGGTTGGGATTGAGAGATGATGGTGCCGATGGAAGATCGTCTACTGAGTCTGGTTACAACCTGATGCCTATTCGCCAGGCTACTGTACTCGCAAATCTCAACGATCGCTACAACAAGATCATCTTGAGAGCTGCTGCCGTGCAACGTGCACTTTCGGCCCGTCAGCAGATTGTACGTCAACCGGTTCTACCTACCCCTCAAGACATCTACAATGCTGCTGCTCCCAACAGCCTACTGTACCAGGCTGTTAGCAGATAAAGACGATTGATGATGATATTGTATTATGTTCTGAACTCTGAGCTAGAGCTACCATTCGTATATCTCCTTTTGCACGTTAGCTATAGCTGGCTTGTCGTAGCTTCTTTTTTCTTATTGCTGCCCCGGGAGAATAGTAGCGCTCGACCTTCCTGCATCTGCATGAATCAGCAGTTTCATGATTCATGTGGTCTCGCCATTTCTATTGCTCTATGATTGGTCTGAGCATCTCCATTGTGGCACGAGTGATTGCTGTTATCTCACTCAGTTCAGTTTATTCTGTTCTTTCTTGCCCTTGCTATTGGGCTCGTCACTCTCTCTCTGGCTCTATACTGTCGTCCTTGCGTCTGTCTTCACCTACTGCTGCCTGGTTGAAGACTACCTTCAGTATATCCTGCAACTACCCTATTATTGCTATATCTCTACTAGTTATTGGGTGTTGAGTCAGAGACGTCCATCGCAGTGTTACCAAACACTGCTATTAATTAGCTATTTACATAGGTTTATTCAAATAATCAGTGGATACTATCCACTGGATAGTCTATACGTATGATGAGATCCTTATCCTAACTAATCTCGAAGTTTTTGAGTGAAGATTCAGGGCATTGATTAACTGCGTTAGGGACTTCGTTCTTAGCTTTTTGAAACGCTACGTCTATCGCTCATGATGGACCATCCATCGAAGGGAGAGTTAAAGCCTGATGGTTTCTACCAGATGTGTTATACCCCTGATGGATGGAAGTACACATGCCACTTTTGCCAACGTCCACTCGAAGCGTTTGCTATTTGGAACAGCTGGAAGGCACGACAACATCTCAGCAGGCATCATTTTCATTTGGTCGAGGCCAACTGGCCCTCAACAATGTCCCAACTCAACACTGAAATCGTATATATCGAAGTTTTGGACTCCCAAACCGTTGGATAACTAAAACTGAGTCAGATTTCGTGAGAGTAATGTTCGATGATAAGCGCGCTATACTATACGTAGAGAGACTTGTGGAGAAACGCGCGCCCAGGGTGGGAAAAATCGCTCACACGGCTAGAACACTGCTTTTGCACTTTACTATGGACATTTAAGAACACTGGGATAAACATGATCGCTTTATGGGTATGACCCGTAGTTTACGCTGCTCAGGGACAGGAAAACGAGGTGTTTTCGCATTTTTCCCAAGGGAAAAACTGGCAGTTTTTCCGGGAACGGGAAAGTGGGAAATTTCCCAAGGGAAACTTTTCCCATTTTCCCAATGGACAAACCCTGTAGCATGTGCTATTTTTTCCATTTGTCCTTGTCCTGGCTGCAATTTATGCTTTGGGATTCCCTCGTGAACACTGACGGCTCAACAACATTGATTACACGGTGTAATTTACACCTGTTCAGTTCCTGGGCACTATCAAGGTTATTATAACCTTTGTAAGATACATTCCGCAGATTATAATGAATCATCGGCGGAAGTGAACAGCAGGTCTAGCGATTCAAGTTCCGATGATGGACATTGCTGGAGCCCTCTTCAGTGGCCTTCAGAACGTCCTGAACGACGAGCGAAGAAAAACTCCGGTCTCACACTTCGAGTGGATTCTTCATAACTAACCTCACTAGTAGATGCGAGTGACGCAGCAGGGGATTAGCAGTGGAAAGCTTCCACTGGAAGCGGTCGAAACCACGCGGGTATGAGGAGAACTTCTTCCGGAAATGCGGTAACTGTTTCCGGTCACTCCACGTTAGCGATCTTGTATGCACTCGCGGCAAGTCAGTGCGAGGGAGTAATTCCTTTTTTTCAGGGCAATGCCCGCCTTTGCAGGGCAGAGCATTCGCTCGCCTTAACGGTTTCACAGTGTCGTCTGAGGTTGATATCTCAGGGCAAATCTTTGCTTAAGAATTTGCAAGTGCGCAAGATGTTTTTAGGAAGATCAACTATGCGGAAGGTTTTGGTTTCTTACGAAGTGATTGCCGAATCGAAAGTTCATCGGCTACATTGAATGTAGTACATTCGGAGATGAACTGGGAATGATTGGGAACGTTTTGAGTAGATCACGACATATTGGATTATC